TGTCCGTTTCTTTCACTTATGTCCGTGTATCGTGTTCTCTCTCTCTCTCTCTTTCTCTCACGCTCTTCTGGCCTGTCCGTCAGTAACCTAGAAAGCGGCGGCGGCCATTCAAGATTACGGGATCTCCGTACGTCCGCTTCGTCTTGCCACTCGTCCAAGATCAAGCGACGATTATCCGTCTCGATCTTTCACTCACGTTTACCCGACGAGAGCTCCTCGCGCACGTTTTTTCCACGTCCCTCTCGCGTTTCGCGCGTCCGAGATCGGACGCTGAGAGACCGATGCTCTCTGGGCTCACGCCGCGAGCGCACACACGTTCCGTTCGCCCATTATACGGGCACGGTTCGCTTCAACTTTCTTGGCACGACGACGAGGACGGTATGCGCGAGCGAACTACGGACTACGATCTCTCTCTCTCTCCACAACGAACACGCTCGCGATGCTCGGACACACTCGGCCTCGCGTCCGCTCGATCTCGAGCTGTGAACAATACCGACCGGCGCACGATCGCTACCGCCGCACGGCTCTACTATCGACACTGTGCTCTTCCTCCTCCCTCTGTCTCTCTCTCTCTCTCTCTCTCACGACGCGCACGCTTTACTTCACTCTACTCTACTCTACTCGACGAGTACAACGCGCACCCTCGCCACGGCGGATGCCGAGAAGCGCGAGCGACTGTACGGGGCCTCTTGGGTGTGCTCGAGGCGTCGACGAGAGACGGCTGTGGCGACGGCAGCGACGACCACGACGACGACGATGACGATAACGACGATGGCAAACAATGCGTGCCGTGTCACGGACACGGAAGATCCTCTACGACGGCGCGTTCGAGCCGGGTCTCAGCACGCACTCAGGGATATTCGCCCATTTGTGACAGATTTCCCGTCCGAGATACACCGCGTTAACGACCGACCGACCGTCCCCCACCTACCGCCGCCACATACAGACATCACGGCAACTTCGATTTTTCAAGATGGCGGCGCGCCGCCATAGGCCCGAGGGACGCGCATGCGCCGCTCTCGGTCAGAGGTGTAAATAGAGCGCAGAAAGTACAAAAGGTGCGCATCGCTCGACGCTATTTTCGCTTCGTAAACGCAAGATTCCGCGCCCCGATTGGTTCGTTAAACGCTTCGAAGCGAAAATAGCGTCAAACGGAATGCATCCGAGTGTGGGAAGTACAGTAAAATTGGCACGTTTTCGATGGTCGATTACTATTTGTGTTATACAAGACTGGCTTTAATCGAGTTATTATATATTTGTTTGCTCTTTTACGGCCGATAAAAGAGCAGCAGAATACGAGCCAGAAGCATTTCTTTGTCCTGATTGATGAATCAAATGCTACTCTACTTCGGCGAATAGATTTACGAACGTAACCTATGCACCGCCGTTGCAGGGTAAGAGAAAACGTGGCCAAAAATCAAAATATAAAGCTACATACAAATTTTGCGTTTATATTTAAGTTAATTGATCACTATTTGTTTATGTAATTTAAAAATAATCTATTATCTATTGGTACGTTGTCGTGCAACAGCACCGTTCATTTATCTGGATGCCTGTACAAATTTTTTTAAATTTTGACTATCAATTTTTGGTACATTAAATTTGTAAAATCACGCAATACTCCAAATTTGTAATTTATCGTGATATATAGTCATTGTATAATCCCTATTTTAAAAGTCGACTAGCGAGTAAGGTGTCAATACGATGTTGGATAGTTTACATAAATTAAATTTGAAGCGTTAATAAAATGATGCAAATTTATTCCTTTTGAAACTCTCCACAAGGAATAAACAACAGCTTTCTACATCTAAATCATTAGTTTGTTAAATTTTAAAAATTAGGTAATGATAAGATAACCTAGTATAAAATACTCAATGTTATATTAATATTTTATATTAATTTATCTTCTGAATACAATTTTATGAAATACGAATAATAATATTAAGGACTATGTAAATATGAAAACCTGCCAATAGATAATATTCAATCGAGAGCAAAGTATTTCTGCAATAGTTCCTCGTATATGTCCTTATCAGTTTTTAAAAATAAGCAAAAGATAACTTTATCCACCTGGAAAATCACAATAAAAACTTTATGAATATTAACGATCATAAATATTAGAAGGATGTAGTTCTCGATAAATATATGTGCAATCTTACATTTTTATTTTCATGGAGGAATTTCCTGACTGTCGATAAAGCTACTTTGGCTGCTGGTCTTTGCGGGTATCCATAAATTCCAGTCGATATGCATGGAAATGCGATAGTACGCAAATTATTCCATTTTGCCAGAGTTAGACTGTTTGCATAACATTCTCGTAATTTATATGGATTTTCACCTTTGGGTCCAACTGTATGAATAACATCTGAAAAATTTCAATTATTCAAATATTTATTTTCGTTAATACAAAATATTATATTTTATATTAAGCTCTTGCAAAAGATAAATACTAACATTTAGCCGGCAGCATGTAACCCCCTGTAATTTTAGCTTCGCCAACTTTACATCCTCCAAATGTTGCACATTCTTTCTTTAAATTTGGTCCCGCTGCTCTATGGATAGCTCCGTCGACTACAAAGTATTTTTTTTTTTTTTTTTTTTTTTTTTTCAATATATACAAATATTAAGTTTTCTAATATACAATAACATTCTTTATACCTCCACCGCCTCCCAAAAGACTCGAGTTTGCAGCATTGACAATTGCATCTATTTCAAGTGACGTTATGTCTCCTTGCCATATTGATACTTTTTTAGCTATGACCTCGTCAACTTTTTCAGTCTTTTCAAGCATCTTGGCAATGTTGGACTTGTTCTTCTCCCAGTACTCTGGCCACATAGGAATTTGATCCAGAGTTATCACTTCTGATTTATATAACTTTCTCTTCTCCTCCAGTGGCATGTTTAAGAATTTCTCTAATTACAGAAATAAGAGAAAGAGATATACATTTATAGAATATTTATAGAAATATTACAGTCTATTCATTGTTCTTCATTCGATTGTTATACCAATCAATGATGTGATTAGATTACAATTAGATTTCTTACTTTTCTCATCTACGAACGACATCTTTCCTTCAGATTTAATCGAAACCGCTAAATTGCGTCTCGATATGAAACTCTGAAGAACACGGGCTCGTTTAAAGGAGCAATTAACGACGGTCGCCTAGAAACCAAAAGCAGTTTTCGCAGCAGAACTCACGAGAAAGTAGGCACGCTCTTGTCCCTTACATTCAGTGCCAGCATATTCCGCGGCGTCGAAGATCACTGTGAAGAGTCCTGTCAATCATCGATGACGCGTTCTTGCGGCTTAGTATATGTCGTTGCAGATTTCGCTATCGCCACACGACCGCGAATGTTGATAAGGTTACGCGACTCACCGCAAAAACTCGCTCGCGTTCTTCGGTAACGAATATTTAATCCCTTCGATCACAACGTTAATGTGGAAGCAATTCGCCACAATGATAAGACAGCTGTCGTCATCTTGCGGCGTCGATGCACTTGCATTTCATATACATGCATTTTCTACACGAGAGATGGCAGCAGCATTGAGAAATATATTCCCAAGAATTTTGTGCGAAAAAGCAATTACAGACAGTAATATATTTTTCATAATTATAGGAGAGGAATTTGTGAAAAGTATGGAGCGAAATTTTCCAGATTTTTTTAGATAAGTAATACATATATGTGTAGAAAAATGAAATTAATTATTAAATGATACTATAAACTTAATGCGAGAAAGAGAAAGAAAAAGAAATATGTATAATATAAATAAAAAGACAAAATATAAATTATAATTAATAAAACATATATAAAAAATATATTCTTTCTTTTTTCGATAAACGTATTAATTTTACAGAGATTAATGAAAGAAAAAAAGACATTAAAAGAAAAACGGTTGTCGCACGAGATAAGGAAAAAAGCAAATTAATCTATTCGCGATAACAGATTGATAACAATTGTAATGAACGAAATGTCGTTATAATTAATAACACTCTAACATTAAAAACAGTAAATTAACATACGACGTAAAAAAGTACGCGATACCTACAAAATAATTATAAAATATCAGGTCAGACGCGAGCGAACAATGCGGATGATTTTAATGCGATTATAAATAGGATTTAAGTAAATTGAGATTTACATAGGCGTATTAATCCGTGGGCGTTCATGCGAAAATACGCCTTCAGCGAGACGTTAACCTGCCATAAGGTGCTTATCAAAGTGCCCCTACTAGTCACGTAAATGTCACGGTTTCCCGCTCCTTATTATATCAAACTGATCGAACTACTTTCAACAAAAAATCCCATGATAAATGTTTCACGAGAAGCGGGCGAAATAAAAGTTCTCTCTTTTGGGAATTTTGCTTTACGTGAAATTGAATTTACAAGAGTTGTAACTCGACAATAGGGGTTGCATTTAAAAATGTGTCTATATAGTTGTGTATTTTTCATCGAATAAAAATATTATTGAAAATATATTTAATATTCTAATATATTTCAAAAACAATTCTTTTTATTGCATACTGTGTGATTTATTACATAAACTAGCTTTTTGGCCCGCGCTTCGCGCGGGCTTCAGAGTCTGTCCGTCTTCAATATTTTACCTGGCATATAATAGATGTTATATTTTTTATTATTTATTCACATTTTTTTTTTCACGATTGACGTACTCACCGTTAATCCACTATTATTATGTATTCACCATTAATCCACTATTATTTGCTATAATTTATTTTTATAATTTTTCTATTTATAAAACTTCTCTCTATATACAATACTATATTTTTCCAAAAAGATTTGTGATTTTCTGAAATAAGATTCTCTTCATTGCTGAATTTATCAATATTAACTTTAACAATTTCGCTTTTAGTTCCTTTAATTATTGATTTAAATTTCGCAAATGTGATAAATATTTTACTTAACTTTTTTTTCTTCATTTTTTATTATACCCTTTTCGAATAAAAGGTGTAAAACTAAAAAAAAAGCCACATAGTAGCCATCCCCGAAAAATTAGCAAAATTTTGGTACCAATTTCGAGAAAATCGGTCCATAAATGTGAAACATGGTGTGTTGGTGCGTGGGTGGATAGGTGGGGGTGTAAAACTAAAAAAAATCACATAGTAACCTTCCCCGAAAAATTAGCAAAATTTTGGTACCAATTTCGAGAAAATCGGTCCATAAATGTAGAACATAGTGTGTGGGTGCGTGGGTGGATGGGTGGGGGTGAAAAACTAAAAAAAAACCACATAGTAGCCATCCCCGAAAAATTAGCAAAATTTTGGTACCAATTTCGAGAAAATCGGTCCATAAATGTGGAACATGGCGAGTGGGTGGGGATGTAAAACTAAAAAAAACCACATAGTAGCCATCCCCGAAAAGTTAGCAAAATTTTGGTACCAATTTCGAGAAAATCGATCCATAAATGTAGAAGTAGTTCGCGGTCCGACAGACAGACAGACAGACAGACAGACAGACAGACGCGACTTATATATATAGATATTACAATCTTTTGTAAACATTATCTATAAATTGTGTCATGTTACATTCAAATTTTGCTTTTAATTTTTTACAGATTTTTTATTTCAATGTAATGTAGAATTACAAATTAAATACTACGCGATAGTAAAACGAAAAAAAGTTTGCCTTCCGCAGTCATGTCCCCGGATGTCTGACTGATTTAACGTAAATAAATTGTACAAACATAATTTCCTGGATTTACATTCTCTTGTAGGATTTTTATAAGTTTTTATTAATCGCGAAAGTTTCAGGACAGTATTTTTGTTTCTTTTTGTTCTTTTCCTTTTAACTGCGGGCTTTATCGAAAGAAAGATTTTCACAATGGGACGGCACATGAACTTTCAGGTAACGAGCCGCCCACGGTCGGGTCACCGAAATACGATCTCCGTGATCCCGTATGTGTGTCGTGTGCGCTGAAATGCGGTTGCATCACTACGTTGCACCCGCTGCATCACGTCCACGTTCGCAGTCGGAATGAAAAAGCAGCGGAAGTTCCCGTAGGAGCACACGGGTTATTATGTGACGCCGCGGGTGTTCATGATTAGGAAACATTTGAAGTATATCGTAGAAGGCGACGTGAACTTATGGAACGTGAGGTTGCACATCTTTTCTCTCTTTTTCAATAATTTGCTTACATAAGTAGATAAAAAAATAAAATTAAAAAAAATTGATATTATTTTTTTTCTTTTTGTCAAATTTCTTAAACTGCTTTTGAAAAAACCTTTTCTAAAATAAAATATATTCTAATCTTTTTTTTATGTACGAAAATTATTAGACTGAAAAGAGAGACTAAGCAAAGTAGTTGCTCAGGATAAATATATTGGAATCTAAAAAAATTACGGTAAGTTAAGAATATCAACTTCCACTGATAGAAGTTGACAAACATTGCTAAAAGTTAACACAACAAATATATATTGCATAATTTTCTGCGATATATGTATATCAAATAGTTTAATCATCTCAAAATCTCCGCATCGATAAAAAAAAAAAATTGAAGTTTTTAACGTTAATTTTATACATCTACGCGGGACCTACGCGGGGGAGGCGAAGTTGTATATATTTGGTTGCGCGCGTAATGTGAATGAACAGTCTTTGGCGATGGGGCGGTTGATGCCTACGTGGCGACAATATCGAGAACCACGGCAATGACGACGACGACGTCATCGGCGGCGGGATCGCCGGAGAGAGTCGCGTCTCTTCCACCACGTTGTACAGAACGGCAGCCGCGTAGTAGCGCATGCTGATAGCCGCCCCGCTATCGATCCATCCGCGCCCCCGAGCTTTCTCTCGCTTCTCCTCACAAGCCTCGTGAACGTCGCTGCCGAGCAATCGTCCCGGCACAATTGTATAATAATTCGGGTGCGATTCTTATCCCGTGTAATAACAGTATCCGTGTCCTCTCTGTCTTTTCGTCTTTATCGCGTCCTATCGAACGGTCATCAGGAGTAACGTACCAGGAGACGAGCAAGCAGCGGCAACGTTATGGCACGACAAGGCGAATACTGCAGGGCGATTTTCCTACTCTGTAAGTTTTCCGAGAGTGTTTCGTGCGATCCCTCGTTCCTGAACGGCATGCGTCACTACGTGTGTCCGATATTTTTGCGAGGAGCGAGATCTATTCGCGATCATTAAAATTGCGTCGAATACGATTGCCAGGTCACGCCATTTGACTCATAGATGCGTTGGAGAGTTATCATTCGAACGGAAAGTTTTACATAAGAGACGTAAGCAAATCTTTCCGCGATTGCTCTCAAAAATATTCCGATAAATGGAGAAAATTAATAGCAGAGTAAAAATATGCCTGTAAAATATGATATGAAATTTATGAAGAATTTTTTTTGATGCTCATAGAGGGGTTAAAGTGTCGAATGTCGCTAACTAGATTTCAAAAACATTTTGTCAAAGCTGTATTTTGCATGGAATCTAACAAGAATTTGTACCATTATTTATAACATGTAATATTTGTATCACATAATATTTTTTAATGTGTACTTGATGTTTTAACGGAACATTCGTGTAATAATACGTAATTGAATAGCCATGTTCTTGGGATATTTTTTTTTTCTTTACTTGATATTTCTGGCAAACCTACAATTACGAGACTATAGTGCTTTTACAAGCACTATATATTGAAAGGTTGCAAGAAGAAAGATAAATGGTTACTTTAATGAGAGAAATGCTATTTTTAGAGGAAAGATACCGCGAAGTCTTTAGATAGACTATGGAATCGAAGCTTTCTATGGTCAGAAATTTAAATGGAGAACTACTTCCTTTTAAGATACATACAAGGAGTATTTTCCAGAATACTTTATGCGCATTTAATTCTATTTTTCTTTAATTTTTGTATCTAATTTGTGGAGAGCACAAGAGAGTGGCGCTGTCTTACTTGTTTAAACAAGTAGGTGGAAATTAAATTGAGGGAATATATAGACATTGAAAATTAGACAAAATTAGACTTTTAATTGCGCATTTTTTTATCACTCTTCTTGTGATTTGTTTTTAAACATGATTAAAATTCTGGATGTCTTGCCTATATTTTATTTTGTCGAGTTAGGAGCTGATTCTCTTACCTCTTAACTTACCGTTATTAATTACAAGAAATATATATCGTAGCATTTACGTGGAATATCGACGTATTTTACTGCAATAATTTTTAACAGGGTGTGTCTCAGGAATAGCGTTCAGTATCCCCGTCCCTTCGCCGATACCGCGACAAGTAGACGAGCAACGTTATACCACACGTAGAACTTTAAAAGTCTATGTAGAGATGCCTACCCAGAGGACGAGATTGCCTTTGGTAAGTACATTTGATTCGGTTACACACTTGAGCCTCTTTATTAACTAGCTTTATATATATATATATATATATCTTTCACATTTCATAAGTTTCTTTCACAATTATATTTTTTTGCTTTCATTATTTAATTATTTTTTGCAACCAAACTTAAAAAATTTTATTGTGTATGAAATGATGGATTAAAAGTTTTTTCAATATTCTGTGTTCTTTGTGTTTACAATGCTGTCCAAGCGAATATATGTAGTAGAAATCGATACACACTCCTTTAGAAATACAACGATTTATATTTCTGTACACAGCAGTAATTATTTAAATGGATTCTTGGAACGCGCTAATACACATATTTATAGAAGGAAGTTGTATCGTGTATATATATAGTATATCTGTGTATACACTTCTACATGTTAATGTTCTGACAGTAGTGGGCGGCGACCGATCCTACTAACGCAAGCTGCACTTCACTCTAAATCCGCGCGTAATCGTATTATCATTCATTACGAGTGCTTATTTAACCCTAAAATTCAAATCTGATAATTAATGGTTGGACGAAGGAAAGGCATCATTATATAATTATATGATTCGGCGCGATTACATGTATCAATTTGCAGGAAACTTTGAAGATCTATCCAACGTAGCAAGGTCCTTCTCAAGGCTGATCTTACATTAGCGCAACAATAATGATTTTATGCCAACATTATAATGTATAATAATGCGTGAAATTTATAAAGGAGTCATTGTGGGTTGCATATATTTCTTTTGCTTCCTCATAGAGGAAGCTTTGTTTTCGTGACAAAATATTTTTTCGAGTTTTCTATGCCAATGTGTTTAGAATGTTCCAAAACGTCGGAAAATCATATTCCTAAAAAATGTTTGTATGTATATATGTGTGTGTGTGTGTGTGTGTGTGTGATATTGTATTAAATTTTTTTACATGAATAGAGTATTATTAAAGGATGTTTGATGTTGAATTTAGTGAGGATCGGTGAAAGAAATTATTTTAATTTTTATTTTGCTCACAAAGCTTTCTCTATGAGGAAGCAAAAATTGAAAAATCCGCATGCTTAAAGCAGCTTAAGCATTGTAAGATAAAATGATGAGGAAGCAATGTGCAAGTTTCTAATTTGCACAACTCTACTTGTTTTTCTTTTTATTGAAACTTTCAGCTAGAACCTTGGCCTCTTATTTGCTCTACTTCTTTTATATATCATTTCTTATATTATAATCTTCAAAGTTGAGATGCTAAATCTCTTTACTTTACTTTAGACGATTTTTAATTTGCTATTTTCTATTTATAACTTTATGTTTTATACTTCGTGCAATACGGAAAACGCATACGTTTGAAAAAGTAAAGAATATATATGTATATACAAAATATGTATCGCGATACACACTTATATTAGGATATATATGTCATATAAAATTATATAAATAGATTGTCATTTTGAATTGTTTATTGCAAATTATATATTGCCTAAATTTATACATACAAAAGATTGAAAATGACAAGAATGTAATTCTGGGAAAAGGTTAATTTTTTGCATATTATAATGTATAACGTTATATTTTTGAAATATTATCATAAATAAATTCATGAATATGGTATTTATATTCTGTTTTAGTATTACAATCTTTTTTAAATAGAAGTTTAAAAATACATCTTTTTTAGTTGAGAGTTAATATATAATATTTTTTCGTAATTGCTCGATGTAGCGTGATTCCTCATATTAACTCGTTTATTGCATTTGTAGCCTGTTGCTGTTCAAAAATGTATTGCTAAATAATACGTAACATGCCAATTTACACTTCGTTGTCGTGATAATCGTATAACTTCCGGCTGTTAAATGTCACCGGATGTTACGACCAGCGCATAAAGTCAGTAAAAGATTTTACTGATGCGATAATTTGCAATGCGACCATCAAGATAACTCATGCGAAATTAAAAGCGGAACACTCCCCTTTTAAAGACACTGTAAAAAATTATGTGTGCACGGGAAAAAAATGCTGTTACTTCAATTAAAGTCTACGTCACGGGCTGCCAACAAGCATATATAGTTCATTCAATGATATTTTTATTGGATTAAATATGTGGCAGCCCGTGACGTAGACTTTAATTGAAGCAATAGCATTTTTTTTCCGTGTGTGAAACATATTAATTAAAAAAATATTTAATTAATATTAATTGTTGAAAATTGAACGAAAATTTGCAATAAATTTTTGCTGAAAAAAGATCGATTCAAGATTGATCAGATAATGTATAAGCAAAAAATAGCTTGTTAAATCTGAGATATCCTATATGTATATTGTGATATACTCATAAATACACTTGGATTACTAAACGGCCGATAAAATGTTAAGCATGTCGAGCAACTTGTTTATTTAAGCTACCATTAATGTTTTTTTAATAAGGCTTATAAAGCCGGAATCACTTCAGCCATTAAACCATAAAGTTGTGATATAAAGTTGTGAGACATTCTCTTTAAATTGCTTTTCACAATTATGACAAAAATTATAATTTATTATTAACAAAGTGTTAAAACGTGAATATCCGAATTAAAAATTAAATTATGAAGTAACGCGTCATTTTTTATTTAATCAGAGTGATCAATTAGTCTAAAAGGAATTATTGTCACTCTTTAATATTAAAACGAATAAATTACTGTATTAATTCTTGAAGATTCTAAATTTTGCAAATTTTTTGACTTTGCTATAGTTTCGCGCTTTTTCGATTTTTCACTTAATTCGAAGGCTACGTCTTTTAACGTTTAAGGTCGATATATTTACAAGAGATTTATGGGTCTCTTTAGTGTTAAATTCTTACAACGCCTAATAGCTGGTTTTTTATTGCACTCCTTGACATTTCGCTGATGGACGTTTATGTGATGTCATCGTGCAAGGATTATATGTCATTCTTGTGGAAACTTACTATTATCACCCGTATTAACTTGACCACGTTTTTCTATATATTTTGTAATTGCGGGTTTATACATATCGTAACATACATGTTTACATTTTACTTGCCTTTATGTTAACGACTCGATACACACGAGAAAAAAGTTGCTACGACAAAACTCGTTACATTTACGTTGCAACAACAGGTGACCTTCTATAGGATCTGTTTATAAACGGAAGTTACTTTTGTAGCAAAATAAACTACATATCAAGATTTTATTAAGCAATTTATTTACGTAGTTGTATCGAATAATTTTTATCGAAAGAGGAATAATTCTTTTAAACAAATTTTTCTCTCTCTTTACGAGTCAGTATTATTGTATGATTCCAATCTATAACTAATTATCATTGATATATCGTTCTTTTATTAATTATATCGTTATCGTCTTTTTCAGACGATAGTCAATTCCGAAATCAAAACAACCACGATCCTGCCCTCAACCTCTACGACCACGCACAGATCGGTCTCAACGGATAAACCCTTGTATCGGGTGGACAGAAGCAACGGACAAGCTTGTATTCTTCTTCAAGTGGATGCGATTATTGCCGTCAAATATCGCACCAAATATGGCGACGATCAAGTAAGAAGCATGTATAAATTAAATTCCGATGAAAAAAAAAATTTCTTACTTCAAATGTTATTAATAGCACAGTTAATGGAGTAAATTAATTATAATTGAATTTTTATGTTTCCAGGAAGTGGATATATACGTACCTGATGATGCGACCGTGACCGGAAATTGCGACAATGAGAATACAGTGACAATGTCCTTGAAGTGGAATGCCTTTGTATTATCTTGGAGTTTCGCTAAGGTAATCTTCTTTGCATAGAACACGCTATTCCAATCTTTAACTTTGTTGGGGAGATAAGTTTCCCGATGGAGAGTTATGCAAATAGCGATTATACGAAGGATAAATCATCTGAACTGTGCCAGGCACAGGGTTGCTTTTTGCGAAAATCGATATGTGACCCTTTTACCGAGATATAGTTTATTTGATTTTCACCTTCATATCGCCGATTGCGTGCTAGAAGCTATCATCACGTAGCTTTCCATAATTATATCCCGAACGATAGCTACAAGTTTTGCAGGATAAAAAAGGTAAAAGAGCTCTCTTTATCGGAAATAACGCAATGATATCTTCGGGAATAAAGAATTATACACGACGAATGATATGATGTTAATTATATGTGCAGCAAAAGAAGAACGCTGTTTTTAATCTCCTCCAACAATCTAATTCTTGCACAAAGTATCAGGTCTACCGGAAAGTTCTGTCCGTTTTTGGAATAAAACAAAATACAAATTTTTATTACCGTCAATAAACTTTATTAAATAATGTAATTGCCATTATTCGGAGAAGTATTGTCAGCAACTGGATAATTTAAATACAGCAGTCCAAGAAAAGAGGCCGGCGATGTCCAATAGGAAGAACATCATACTGCATCATGATAATGCCAGGCCCACATGCTGCTTTGGGGACTCGTCAAAAAAGTGCAGAACTAGGCTGGGAAATTCTGTCGCATCCACCATATTCCCCGGACTTAGCACCCTCCGACTATCACTTGTTTTTGTCCTTACAAAATTTTTTGAGGGGCAAAAAATTCAAAAATGAAGAAGATATCAAACAAACACTGGTTCAATTTTTCGCATCAAAAGATAAAACATTTTTCGAAAAAGGGATATACAAATTGCCCTCACGCTGGCAAGAAATCATTAATAATAATGGCAATTACATTATTTAATAAAGTTTATTGACGGTAATAAAAATTTGTATTTTGTTTTATTCCAAAAACGGACAGAACTTTCCGGTAGACCTAATAAAAACATGATCGACCCCATAATATTTTCTCGAGACGCATGATTTTTATTTTCCAGACACCCGGTGGCGAACGCTGGTACGTCGAGAAAATTGAATTGACCTACAACTCTAGCGACAAACACTTCGAGCACGTTGATCAACCAAGTAAGTGCAATTAGTGACAAATTAACTGGTTCAAAGTATTGATTTTTTGTCTTAAAACGTTTCATTAAATTTTCATAATATATACTGCGTTTTTTTTTTTTTTTTAATTTCTAACCAAATGTTGTACGGAAAAGATTAAGCTATTGATTGAGTTTATTATAAATTATCAAATGTACTTGACATTTTTTGAGAAAACTTTGATGTTATATTATTAATACCAAATTAAATGTTTCATTAATATCTTAGACAAGACTATTCGGGTGAGTACCGGGCAGAAACATAGCTTCATGCTGTTCCCTACGCCGGTTGGAAAATCGTACGCTTGCACCGAGGAAATCGTGGTTCCACTCACCGATGGCAAGAATCACGCCAGTGTACTTCTGAGGTATTTTATCATATTATCGAATCAATTTCACTCTAAAAATCACTTTTAAAAAACTGATAAATAAGGCATAACCCGAAATTATAATCGAGATCAATGTTATTTTGCTCGATATTTAAAGTTAAACTTTATGACATATATAGCAACCTTTATCCAAGCTAATTTCAAGAATATTTTCTTTTTATTACGCAATTAAATCTTCTCAAAATCTCAGCCACTTTTAGCGTTGAATTCAACGCACAGAGATGTAATATATATCGTACTTGGAGAAATTTTTATTCCTGTCGGACGCGATCTGTGAGAAGACTGATGTCGAAAAGAAAAATAATGAAAAATTTCAGAGATATGAAGCTGCAGCCGTTCAAGTTCAAGAACAACGAGTTCGCCACCGAGTTCTCGTGCACTTCGCTAAGCGCGCGCGCCGGTAGGGACGAGACCGCGCCGGTCGCGGTCGGTTCCACGCTGGCCGCTGCGGTCCTTCTGACGATCACCGGTTACGCGGCCTACCGATACTTCAAAGTGAAGAAGGTCAAATATGACACGATGGAGTAAGGAGAGCCGGGGCGAATCGATTCCCCACTGTCACGACGATGCCAAAGCGTACGCGTATCGCCAAAATCACGACTCGTAGTTTTTATTCCCTCCACGTTAATCATTTCTGGAAAAAAAGGCTCGCTTGCGCTTTCCGTCGGCTTCTTTCAGCATTTTTTCGCAAATAGTTTTTTTTTTTTTTTTTTTTTTTTTTTTAATTGAGCGCGAACCTGTATCGATCGGACTTGTAATTATCGCGTAACGATCCACAATTAAATACTCGGAGATACATAATTAAACGTGTCGATTGAACAGTTATATTGAAGGCGATTCCAATTAAAGCAGGCTCCATGTTTCGTGAGACGAGATATCAGAAAGAGAGAAAAAATTCGAGAGAAAGACTCTCTCGTAAACATACGTTAATGGATATTTGAAAAGGTTTCCATTAGGTACATGATTAAATATACTCGAGTTTTCTAATCACTTTAAAAAAGTGTCACTTTAAAAATAGTCTCGATATGTTATAAAAGTAATATTAATTATTATTGATTAATATTATGAGATTTAATTATCTCTTGAAAAAGTTTTTATCATTATTCGATTCGGTCTCCTTAAAATTTAATTACAATTATTTTTATATGATTTTGAAAAAGACTTTTACTTTAAATAATAAGAATACTTTTACTTTGTTCTTTCATGTGAAATGTTTGCTTATAAAAATAGAAAATATCATCGATTTTTTTTTCAATTAGAGCAGTTTTGGGTCACGTTTTAATGCACCCTTATGCGTAGAAGATAGATATCATCGATTTATGCCGTAAGTATTAATATAAAAGTGTCGAGACGAATATGATGCAATGGAATTCCATTACTAGTGTATACGCGATATTTAGTCGCGTACATCGAATGTCAATCGGTTCGTTCGGAATTTAACGGAAAAATGACATTCGTAATCGCAAACTCGGATGGTTGTATTAATAGGCTTTTCAATTTGTAGATCTTGGTCTACGTGTCGTTGTATGAGCATTTAATGAGGAACATTCAAAAATTTTGTCATTCGTGTATTTTCTCGTCACAAGAATTACATTGATTATGAGTTCTTTGTGGAGTTTGCTTAATTTTCTAGAAAAACACATGAGAAAGAACACATAGTTACTTTAATTTCCCGCGGGATACTTGCGTAACAGCAATGCAAACAATTGAGATGATATTAAATTGTTTCCTTCGGCATAAAAAACTCGTGATATAATATATCTTTATCCATTTGAACATTATTACAGATAAAAATATGTAGTATAATAAAAACTTTGATTATAATTCGAAATTAAAGATTCCAAAAACGAGGTTCTCCGATGCCTCAAAGACGTGAGAGGTCCTTCTTGGCAGCTAACGATATTAGATAGGTACTTAGATTAATTAACGGGAGTGTATTAATACATTTCGATGTGACGCCTTAAATTATCTTGTACATAGCAATCGTCTATAATTTACTGATAGATTATTTCCAATTTTTTACATCGATTGTACTGAATTTTACCATGCTTTACTCTTCGTAATGTACAGCTTTCGTAAGTTTCTCGATTTGCGAAATTTAAGTCTAAGAGATATTTAGCTGTAAATATAAAGTTAAATTAGTTTGTCACATATCCGTTATTATTTATGTCTTGGGTGGGAATGTGAATTGTGATCCAGACTTCTAGAGTTTGTAATTTGATCTCACACATTATTCTCGCTCGATATTATGTAGTATAAGATGAGAAATTATATAAGAGTATGTATCTCTCGCAAGGCTGTTTCTCAAATCTTCTTCGAAATATTTATATCAATATGTCAATTTAAGGACTAACAGAATAGTGATATACTTCATATCAAGAGTGGTTTTACAAACGCACGCCACAATAGGATAATCCTTTCATTCGGCTTATAATTCTTTATATATGTGTGTGCGCGTATGTGTGTGTATACTATGTAATATATTATGTAAATACATAAGCGAGATAAAGCTGCATTACGCACGTATTATGCATGAGGCATAATACGCGCATTTAGATTACAAGTACACAGAAATTTTCCAAATTAACGTCGACATGATTACACGCAATTTTCTTTCGATCAAAGAAGCTTTCCCATCTTCTCTTCTCCTACGTTCTATTCTGCATTTTTCTTGGATGCATCTAAAAATTTTGGTAAAAATACGCGCTCGTTTTAGGAATTATATTTTAGCATATAGAATTCAAAGTTGTCGTAAATTTGCATAGTTATTGATTGCGTGTCAGTTATGATATACTTATGGTAGATAAAATACGATTTTGCGATAATAGAAGGTGGTTATTTATATATCGAAAACAGAGCTAGTCGCTGGCGATGGCGCGTGATGAATAATATAATTATTAGCGACAAAGTTATGAAGTACCTAAGCGTTTAAGATGTATACGTTCACGCGTGCATACATTAGGAATATATACATATCTACGCGTGTACATATACGTTATATAGACATGTATATACATACATATACCTATATGAAGAGAAACGTTACCGAGATATTCGCATAATATACATAAATATATATATATAAACCTCTGTCTTCCAATTAAATGCATATTAAAGTTACTTCGTGTGTAAATATATATTACGAATATCATATAATGTATTTCCACAGATTTGTCAATCGTCGACTCGTAGATGTGGCCGGTAGCGAGTATCGTGACGATTCACAAGATCTTGAAAGAATTCAAAGGATTTGAGATAATTAAATATTTCGATTTAAAAGAGAAGTAAAGAAGACGCGCACGATCTAAACTAGATAAATTTATTTTCGAGGTAAATATATTATTGCATAAAAAAACTTACTATAGTTCACAATTCGTCATATCTTTTGAAATTTCTGCATAATGGTCCAACTGAATTGATATGAATCGGCAAGATCGGATGAACGCATCACGTATGCTCGCGTATACCGTGATACTAATACGAGAAAGGTCTAGCTGTAATTACGGAATTGTATTTTTGTGCTAAAGTCAATCTTACTATAGATATTAACGGATAGTAGGAGAGCGATTGAGAAAATTAGCGGTGCGATTTTGCGGCTTGCGTCTCGGTAAATCAACGGACGGGATATTCGATGGATCTCGATTTAACGATTCTACGCGATTTTATTTTTTTCTTTGTAAAATTGTGTAAGAAACGACACGACGACAAGGCACAATGATGCAGATTGATGAATCGCGATGTCTTCAATGATGAAATGACGTCAAGTTATGAATCATATCGCTTGACCTATAGCCGCAGCGCGTTAAGTCTTGTAACAATTATTATAATAATCTTAATATTTATTATATATGCGGAGACCGTCAGAATGGAAAGGTGGATTCCGGTTTCACGTGATGCATTGCGACATATATCTAATTAAAATTGTATCATAACAATAAAATAAAGGCTGTTATACAAATTCACTCGATCATGTACGTTGTATTCACGATGTTCTACAAGAGAATTTTCCACAAATTATATGACATTTTCTTGTAATTTTGATTAAACAAAGTGAAATAATAGCAAATCACTAATCCAATAGTAATTATTTTTTATTTTTACTGTTTTTGTATACAGCTATATTTTTAAATATAAAATATCTATTAAGTGTTTATCGGAAATTCTACTCTACATTTCGTTAAACTGTGCCAAGAGTTTTATTAAATAACGGATTTTGTTAATTTTTTTAGAATTTTTTAAAAATTCTTTTAAATATTTATAAACGCGTGAGAGATCATTCAATTAATAAGATCTTTGAGAGAGACAAGAAGAGACTTAACGTTGAGAAAGCAAAATATATACCTTGTAATCGCGTTTCATTTTATATACATGGGTATTACGCCTTTTCGAAAGCAGATGTCTATTCACGACAGAGGGTCGCGGAGACATAATAATCTTGCGTTGTGGAAAGGGCGGTGAAAAGTACAGTCAAGCAGGCTTATGCTTGCCGAGGGGGCTGCCCTCCCTTTGCGCAACGCGCGACACCGTCGTCGTCGGCTCATTGTCGCAATGTCTATTGAAATCTCTCGCAACAATGGCGCGCGATCGCATTGTCACCTACGAGAGCATTTCGGGTCTTGTGCCTATGAGCGATCGGAAAGATCGCTGCTCACGTTATTGCATCTCGCGGATTACGGATTATTCGTGTGAGCAACGTGCGTTTATTCCACCAATTTGATATCTAATCGAGCGAGTTCGCGATAAATGATCGAGAGAATCTAATTGCAATCGCATTTATAGTAAAAAATAATAATATGTCTCGCGTCGAAACATAAAAAATTGCTCGCGAGTTAAATCCTCACCGATATATCCGCGTGTTATTTTGCCATCGCGCGACCTGTAATTGGGCCGACACGCGTTTAATTAGCAATTATCGCGACACAATATTTTGCTTAATTGCCCGGAAATTCATTTTTCGCGCATCGTATGATAACATGCTTGCGGGACGATAACACAGCGGTGCTGACCGGGATAATTGAATGTAATTGGCTGCGTTTGATGACAGATGTGTACCGCCAGATTCGGATGGACGGGGGGGAGGGGGAGGGAAGGGGAAGGGAGGGGAGGAGGAGAGAGGATGGTTCACCCAGGAAGAGGCAGGAAAACGGCAGCGAAGGGGGTAGTACGAGGCGGCGCGGCGAGGGGCGCGGGGATGGCCTATAATTTATAAACTAGGGGCTGTTTTGGGGTAATTGCAGATAACGACGGGGCGGTCCGGATAACAAGCCGACATGGGAGTCACTGGACACCGGTGCCACTCCACCATCCGCGCGTAACACCATAACCTTAGCGTCGTTATGTACGGTTATGCCCGGTTCCGTAGTGTGTATAATATAGTTTGCAGCCCTGTCCAAGCGTAAGTTATGTCGCGCGTGATATCAACCCCGCCGGGGGTTGAGTTAATAAACGACCGCGGTTGCAGCGAATCGCCCGCCACCGTCGCCGTCGCCGTCACCTTTCATCTTTTGAACTCGTTAGCGGCGAAAATGTCGAGCGAGATGTCGTTTAAACCGAAAGATGGATGAGTGGACAATTTTTTTTTTTTCCACCGATATCTCATTCCCTCTGTTTATCAAATTATATTCTCCAGGTATACCTGGTTAAAA